GCACATTGGAGGGGTAGATAGACCAGATACATCATTATCAGCTTTAGAATTATCGACTTCAACTATGTTGGAGCTTCTTGTAGCTAATAACTGGACTGGAATTAAAGATCTTGAGGGCCTTGTGGTGTGTGAAGTAATGGTAGATGGTTCAGATATATCATTATCATTGTTTTCTTCAGAACTATTGACTTCAATTGCATTAAAATTGATAATTGGGTTGAAATGGAAGAATTTGAAGTTCTTATAGTGCAGGAGATAATGGTACACGATTCAGGTGTATCATCATCAGGACTGTTATTGTTAATAGAAGTAATACTATTTTGTCTCAAAAAATTATTTTTATAAGATGCGATTGATCTGGCATTACTTTCATTGTCAGTTTTAGTTATATAAGAATTTGTTACTAATGTTGGACTACAGCTTTTTTTTTAAGTCTTGAAGTAGGAGAAATAGCATTTTTACATTTAGGAGAAGAAGCAATGCCTTGGTCATGAGCTCCTTTTATTTTGTTCTTATGTTCAGTTTCAAATATAAATTACTTTAATATTAACATATCGATATGTAAATTATTATATTAAAATATGAATATTGTGTATTACCCCAATTTCCAATAATATTTTCAAATTTTCTGCAAAGCAAAATCTCTAACAAAAACAGGAAAAGTTGGAACATCATATTTAAACTAAATTAAATATAATTATTAATTTTAGTATAGTTATAAAATAAATAATTATAGTGATAATAAATATAAATATACATACTTCATTGATAATTTTTTTTATCTTTTCTGGTACTTGTTCAGATACATATTTGTTTTCCAGCAGCTAGCCACTAATCTGTCATGCAAATTTCTCTGCATATTAAAATATATTTATATAGTTAGATGATAATTTTTAGTTATTTATAAAAACAAAATAAGGGTGTGTAATATAAAACTTGCCTGATACAGTATATCTAGTAAGTATCATAGAGCAAACATAAGAAGCCTTTCCAGTCTTCTTCTAGTTTTTTGGTGTTTTTCATTGTTTTCACTCTTCTTTAGTAATTAGGTTTTACACTAACCCAATAGAAACTAAAATAACAATATAAGAATTTATTTTTTTTTAATATTAAGGTGACCTCTTGGTCAAGTATGCTTTATTGTATTCGAATAGTCATTATATATATTTGAGAGTATATCTAGCTATATCTGCATTTTTTAAATACTTATTTAAGTAGTCTACCTATTACTAGATTCTATACTAGTTGTCATATCTGCAATCTGACTAGAGAATCATCTCTGCATCTATATACTCTGAGGTCTACATCAATCAGCAACTATTTCTTTAGTTCTATAAACTGGTTTTCCTGATATACATTCACATGATGATTTAAAACTTTAAAGCAGAACTTCATCTCCTTATTAATCTACTTCTGGTCTTTTATTCTTAAGATAAATCTAATAAAGTTCACAGTATTCTCACTTTATACTGCATCTAGCCTGTCTGTAGTCTATCACTTGCAACTCAGTTTTACCTATTTTAGAAGTATATGATACTGGGTCAAGGTTCTTGTCTATAGTTTTTCTCTTAATTTTAAGTTTTTTTTTTGCTTTTAACTATGTTTTAACCCTAGTTTGGCTGAATACCACTACCCAAACCTATTTCTTCCTATATAGAGTTTATCCAAACCCTAGAACTTATTTCACAGTATATTCTAATATTTTAGTAAATCTGCTTTCTTTATTCAGACTTTTAATTCAGATAGCATAGTATGTATTACTTATTTTTCTTCAATTTGATAGCGATCTAGTTGGTATTGGCAATTTTACTTATTTATCTAATAGCAAAAATTCCAATCCTATTATTAGATTTCCAAGCTAGATAGTCTGGTAACTATGTATTTTTCTTCTATACCTAGGCAGATACCTTCTAAAGGGTGGCTAGTAGGTTTTTTACTATTGCCATAATATGCTTGCAATTTCAAGAGCTTTCTAGCTAGATTCTCAGTTTGCTTTCCTATTTGTAGCAGTTTGATTGGTGTAGATACATCTCAACACCTGTGTTTTATCTAGTTTAGTTTATATAGTTCTGTTTTCTGAGTCTAACTTTTACAATATCTTTGTCAAAAATCTATACTACTCTCTGCTTATTACTTGCCAAGTAGGCTTTTATAGATACAGTTTTCTAATTTATATAGTTTAAAGACTTATTGTAGATTTGTACCACTAATACCAGCTTGCATGTCTTTGTATAACTTATATATTATATGAATACCCAGATCTTCTAGTCTTGCTAGTATGATCATAGTCACTGGTATCCTATCCCAACTAATTAACTAAATATAGTTAGCTATAATACAAATAAAATTTTTAAATTTTTATTAATGGTGGGATTTGAACTCTTGACCAGTTGCTTGGGAGGTAACAACTTGACCACTTTGCTATATCAATATATCCAATATAAGAATTTATTAAATTTTAAGATAATAAATAATAAAGCTTTATTGATGAATTAGCAACTCCTATAATAGCAATATTATCATCTCAAAAATACAACAATAAATAGTCCTTACTTAACAAACAAATAAACTAAAGATCTATATGGCTTTATTTTAACCATAACCAGAAAGTTACAAACAACTTCACAAATTTAAAACTAATTAACTTAAATCTTTTAAAATTAAAACACTGCTTAATGAACTCTCTATATACTACTTTATATATCCTAAGTCTTTTTACAATGATAACTGCTTTCATTGTGGTTCTCAAGACTTTTTGGCTTACTGGTATACCTGTACCAATCCTGCTTTACTTTAGCAGATAATTCTATCTACTATTACAAATCATTTGCGCTTAGCAGAACTAAATATAACTAAT